TGGGGACATCATTGGGGACACTGGGGGACATGAAGCCCTGCACGCTGAAACGGCTGCGGGACGGCCACCTGGGTATGGGGACACTGGGGACATTGCTGGGACACTGGGGACATCATTGGGGACACAGAGCCCTGCATGCTGAAACGGCTGCGGGACGGCCACCTGGGTATGGGGACACTGGGGAAATTGCTGGGACCCTGGGGACATCATTGGGGACACTGGGGACACGGAGCCCTGCATGCTGAAACGGCTGCGGGACGGCCACCTGGGTATGGGGACACTGGGGAAATTGCTGGGACCCTGGGGACATCATTGGGGACACTGGGGACACGGAGCCCTGCATGCTGAAACGGCTGCGGGACGGCCACCTGGGTATGGGGACACTGGGGAAATTGCTGGGACCCTGGGGACATCATTGGGGACACTGGGGACACGGAGCCCTGCATGCTGAAACGGCTGCGGGACGGCCACCTGGGTATGGGGACACTGGGGAAATTGCTGGGACCCTGGGGACATCATTGGGGACACTGGGGACATCATTGAGGACATCACTGGGACGTTGAGGACATTGCTGGGGACATTGTACCCTGTATCTCTGTCCCTGTCCCCTCACTGTCCCTGTCCCTATGTCCCCATGTGTGACACGTCCCTGTCCCTGTGTGTGATGTCCCTGTGTCCCTGAGGTGACCCTGTCGCTGTCCCTGTCCCCGCAGGGATCTCGTTTGTCCCCCAGGAGGTGGGGGAGCACCTGGTGCACGTCCCCCGCGGCGGGCAGCCGCTGTCCCTGTGTCCCTGAGGTGACCCTGTCGCTGTCCCTGTCCCCGCAGGGATCTCGTTTGTCCCCCAGGAGGTGGGGGAGCACCTGGTGCACGTCCCCCGCGGCGGGCAGCCGCTGTCCCTGTGTCCCTGAGGTGACCCTGTCGCTGTCCCTGTCCCCGCAGGGATCTCGTTTGTCCCCCAGGAGGTGGGGGAGCACCTGGTGCACGTCCCCCGCGGCGGGCAGCCGCTGTCCCTGTGTCCCTGAGGTGACCCTGTCGCTGTCCCTGTCCCCGCAGGGATCTCGTTTGTCCCCCAGGAGGTGGGGGAGCACCTGGTGCACGTCCCCCGCGGCGGGCAGCCGCTGCCGCGCAGTCCCCTGGCCGTCACCATCAGCCAGGCCGAGCTCGGGGACGCGTCGCGGGTGCAGCTGCGCGGGCCCGGCCTGAGCGAGGGCACCACGTTCCAGCCCGCCCAGTTCACCATCGACACCCGCCAGGCCGGTGAGGGACTGGGGGGGATCTGGGGGAACTGGGAGGGACTGGGAGGGGATTGGGGGGGACTGGGAGGGACTGGGAGGGATCTGGGGACACTGGGAGGCTTGAAATAGTTCAGTTCATGTCACAGATTCCTCAAATTTCCACATGTACAAACACTATTGGTGGCAGGTGAATATTGTCTGTAGTTACTTATTACCATTTAAACAGCAGCAACATAAGAAAAAAGAAAATGTTGGTATTAATCTAAATGGGAAAGTAGGAGTGGTGTTCCTCGAGTATTTTGTGTCCATACTTGAAGTGAATTTGCTTTATTAAGAATGTTTTATAAAAAGATTTGTAGAAATCTGGAAGAGAATTCCCTGTTAATCCCCAAAAGTGAAGGTTGTGCCATTCTTCTGCAATGAGGTGCATGCCTTTGCAGAAACAATTTGGTGAAGAAAAATATCCAAACCAATGAAAGGCCCAGGATTTGTGCCATTTCTCAGCAGTGCCCTGCCCTGTGCTGCAGCTGGAGCTGTCCCATCAGGATGGACAGCTTGGTGACAGCAGGGATGTCTGTCCACAGAAGGGAACAAGGATCTTTAGGAGGGTTACAGTGAAAGATGGAAGCTTAAGCAACACCATGCACCAGCTGATGAAGGGGGCTGCAAAGCATGTTATATTCAAAAACTTGTAATACTTCTATCATGTTTAAAGAAAATTATTCAAACCCTACTACTTCACCAACATTCCTCCTTCCCTTTGCACTCCCCTCACTTATCTTTTGCCAAGAGCTGCTGTAAGGAAATACTTCTCTTCATTTCTCTTGTTTCTGTCAGTAATAATGGTGAGCCTGAAACCCCTTCTGCAGTGGCAACTTGCAGTACTTCTGTAAATTGAGGCTTTTGTCAGATAAATACAGTTGGTAAAATTTTTCTTGATCCCCAAAACCCTCATTTATCTTCCTATTAAAAAAAAATATATATATATATATATTCTAGCTTCCATTCTTCCCCTTCAATCTGTAAAGAACAGCATGTGATGTGGTTTCTGTGTTGATTTTCAAGATGATTTTTAGGATTTTTGGGGTTTCCCCCCAGATTTGGGGTTTTTTTGGGTTTCCCCCCAGATTTTGGGGGTTTTTTTTGGGGTCCCCACTCACGCAGCATCAGGATGACCCCAAATTTTGGGATTTTTCCCAGGATTTTTAGTATTTCCCCCAGGATTTTTGGGATTTTCCCCGGGATATTTGGGGTTTCCCCCCAAATTTGGGATATTTTTGAGTTTCCCCCCCAGATTTTGGGGTATTTTTTGGGGTCCCCACTCACGCAGCATCAGGATGACCCTGCCCAGCTCCCCCTGTTTGACGCTCAGGTAAAGCTGCCGGGGGTGGAACCTCAGCTTCTTCCTCCTGGGGGGGACTGGGAGTGACTGGGGGGGACTGGGAGGGACTGGGAGGGGATTGGGGGCACTGGGAGGGGATTGGGAGGGAATTTGGGGTCACTGGGGATTTGGGGACACTGGGAGGGGATCAGGGGACACTGGGAGGGGGTTTGGGGACACTGGGAGGGGATTGGGGGACACTGGGAGGGGATTGGGAGGGAATTCGGGGTCACTGGGAGGGAATCAGGGGACACTGGGAGGGGATTGGGGTCACTGAGAAGGACTGGGAGGGAATTTGGGGACACTGGGAGGGGATTTGGGGTCACTGGGGATTTGGGGACACTGGGAGGGGATCAGGGGACACTGGGAGGGGGTTTGGGGACACTGGGAGGGGATTGGGGGACACTGGGAGGGGATTGGGAGGGAATTCGGGGTCACTGGGAGGGAATCAGGGGACACTGGGAGGGGATTGGGGTCACTGAGAAGGACTGGGAGGGAATTTGGGGACACTGGGAGGGGATTTGGGGTCACTGGGGATTTGGGGACACTGGGAAGATGGAGGAGGACTGGGAGTGACACTGGAGGGGCACTGGGAGGGACTTTGGGGGGGTTTTGGGGGCTCTTGACTGACCCCAACCCCCCCCCAGGGAGCCCCTTCTCGGTGAAGGTGCCGGCTCTGGGGGAGCCTCATTTGGGGATATTTTGGGGGGGATTTGGGGTCTGGGGGGCTCTGAGGACTCCGGGATACTTTGGGGGGGTCCTGAGGGGTCTGAGGGAGTTTTGGGGGGTCCCGACTGACCCCACCCCCCCCCCAGGGAGCCCCTTCTCGGTGAAGGTGACGGGCGAGGGCCGCGTGCGCGAGAGCATCACCCGGCGGCGCCGCGCCCCCCCCGAGGCCAGCGTGGGCACCCCCTGCGACCTCAGCCTCAAAATGCCCGGTGAGGGGCTCGGGGGGGTCCTGGGGGGGTCCTGGAGGGGTTTGGGGGGATCTCAGAGGGGTTTTGGGGGTCCTCAAGTCTTCAGGGAGCCCCCGAGCATCCCTACCGGTGTTCTGGGGGTCCTGGGGGTGTTCTGGGGGTCCTGGTGGGGGTTTGGGTGTCCTTGGGGGAGTCTTGAGTGACCTGGGGGGAGTTTTGGGGGTCCTGAGTGTCCCCCACGGACCATGGCCCCCCTTTTTCCCCCCCTTTCCTTTTTTTCTCCCTTTTCCCCCCAGAACTCTCAGGTGACCGTGCAGGTGACAGGTCCCACATGGAATATTTCCCTCAATAACCCCATTTCCCCCTCAA